TGAATATTTCCAGCAGACTTTGGGCTATAGGAGTAGTCTCTAGTTGCCTGGTACCTGGCCTGGGATGATTTAAGGCAGGGAAAATATTTGCTTGGTTTATGAGTTAAATAAGGACATAGTTGGGCTGCAGGATTCAGGATTGCTTGGTTTACATATACAAGATGTGCTCCCAAATACGTTGTCTACTAACTTCAGCAACTGGCTAGCCCTGGGAGGGGTAGTCCTCCCCAGCCAGCAAGCTTTTTAAATTGTGAAAACATCATAAAATATAGAAAATTTTTTTAAAAAATGGTTAATACACATTTCTTTGAATAAGATATACAAATGACCAGTAAGTACTAAAAAGGTGCACCACACCATTAACCATTAGAGAAATGGAAATCAAAACCACAATGAGATACTACTTCAGACCCACTAATATGACTATAGTTATGAAGACAGACAATTACAGGTGTAGGCAAGGATGTAGAGAAGTTGAAACTCTCATACGTAGCTAGCGGGAATGTAAATATGATGCAGCTGCTTTGAAAACCAGTGTGGCATTTCCTCAGAAAGTTAGAGGTACCACATAATGCAGCAGTTTCACTCTGATGTATGTACAGAAGAGAAATGAAAACATATTTCCATGCAAAAACTTGCACACAAATATTCCTAGCAGCATTCTTCATAATAGCCAAAAAGTGTAAACAAACCAAATGTCATCAACTGATGAACAAAATGTGTGTATATATTAATAATAGAATATTATTCAGCCATGCAGAAGGACTGAAGTATTGATCCATGTTACAACATGGGTGAACCTTGAAAACATGCTAAGACACAAAGGCCACATATTATACTCCATTTTTATGAAATATCCAAAAGAGACAAATTCGTAAAGACAGAAGATAAGTAGTTTCCAGGGGAGGGAGGAATGGGCAATGATTGCTAATAGGTTTGGTGTTTCTTTCTGGGGTAATGAAAATATTCTGGAACTAGTCATTGGTGATGATTATACAGCTTTGTGAATACTAGATATTAAAAACCACTGAATTGCATACTTGAACAGGGCAAACTTTATGGTTAGTAAATTATATCTGTTTTTTAAAAAAGACTATAAAGTCTTTTTTATATACCTACTTCTTATGTACCTTCTTATATACGTGCTTAAAAGATGATGCAACACTGTGGGCAACACAACAAGAAAACTGAAGAGTAATGATTTCTTGAACTTCATTGTCCTTCTAGGCAGTTCCATCATTCTTTTGTTTTCTTATTATTTTAATTTAGTCTTGTTTAGTATAGTTGGTAATAATTGATGAGTAATGCTAAAATAATTCCTAGGATGATGAAAATGGAAAATGTTTCAAGATATAGGAAAATAAGAGCCCTAAATGCCTGCAATATATCGCAGATTTGTAAGTGAGTCCAGTGGACTAACCTATATGGAAATTATAAGATAGGATGGGTTTTATTCTGTTTCTTTGTAAAAAATTAAATTTATCTTTGTTCTTTGAAATCTTTAAGAAAGAATAAAAGTCATGAAATAGCAGTCTTTCACACGTAGTTAGAAATGTTAAAAAAAAAAAAAAAAAAAAACTCAAAAATTGAACCTGGGTCAAATGGACCCTGATGGCACACTGAGGGTTTTAAGGAGGTGGTCTCTGCACTGAGTCTTACATGTTAGATATCATTAGAAAGCGCAGGTAGGGATGGCGACAGGAGTGGCGGGATTATGCATTCCAGGTTCAGTGACCTGGAATTGCCAGGATGTGCATCGCATTTAACTTGACCGGCTAACAATATTCCAATTTTTAACACAAGAACTGATTGAGGGTCCCAGACAGCATCTCGTCTGAGCTCATAGGTGGTGAGGTCTTTATTCTTGATGGAGGCTGTCTTCATGGTGTATGGACAGCACTAAGTACTGCTGAGGTCTGCTTCTTTACTTCGTTATTGTTCACAGAATGTCCTGCTTTTCTGACACAGGCTACTTACCAAAAGCTGCTACCTCTATACTTCCCAAGGTCATTAAAGGAGGAGAGTAGGTCATTGCCATACCTACCTGCAGATATTGGAAATGCAGAAGGGGAGCCTGTGGTACCTGAACGGCAGATTAGAATAAGTGAAAAACCTGGTGCTCCAGAGGGTGAGTTCCAGAGTTCTATCTTTCTTAATTTCCTTCTTAAGGAAACAAAATAAGACACTAACCAGCAAAGAAGTAAGAAGTTCAGCTTGACTTTTAGAAAGCTCTCTATTAGCATGACACTAAGATCAAGACTAGTTTAGAAGTTTTCAGAGTCTTATTCTTGTTGAAATGTATTCTTTAAATTCAAAAAATTTATATGTGTAGATAGGTAGGTAGGTAGATAGAAATCTTGTCAAGTCTGTGTTAGGCAATGGGGATTTGGAGGTGGATATAACAACAGTTTCACCCTAACAAAGCTTATAGTCTCATGTAGGATACTGGGGAGATAATAGTCATCTAAAATTTTTAACAGTGTCCTCTAAAAGCCATACCAAATATTAAATACTGAGATAAGAATACTATAGTCATTCATTTGGTTTGTCTAGGTTATATATACATGTAAGCTGAAGTAGTAGGTAGAGCATGTTGGGATGGACGGCCTTCTGAATCTGTCCTGTATGACAGCCTGTACTGGCCTTCACATGTACATGTATAAGGTCATAAGTCCCTTCTGTGGAAACATGCCTCATAAGCTTCAATACTAAGACTTAATCTTGAAATCCAGCAGTTTAGGGAATTACTATGAGATTCCTACTGTGAACACTTCTTTTAAAAATGAGCATCAAGTTAAAATTTGTAGAAAGCTAC